TGTGTCATGTCGCGAACAATTCGGACACCGCGTGCCCAGAACAGCACATGGCTCAGCGCGAGCTAGTTCTGCAGGGCAAGCGCGTGTGAACACTCCTTTTTCTCATCAAAATTTGCTTGGCCAAGAAACTGTCTTATCAGAAACACGGCCTTCATTGGAATACGACTGGGGGCTGCCAAAGCTTAGAGGCAATGGGCAACGCGCGCGCAAACGCCAACCAACCAACAGGAGTGCAGAACGGCGGCAGCAACCTAATCTGGCTGGAAGGCACAAGCAGAACAGAAGGGCAAATCTGTGAAATGAATACATGGGCACATCAAAAATTCATCGCACACAAAGGGCAATGGGCATTTTAAGATTTGCAGCACGCCTGCAGGACACGTCAGATCATGCAAGCTTACACACGATGAGAAAGTTAATGTGTCCAGGCCCGAGCAAGTCTACTTAGCAGGTATGCGTTGCGCTTGTTGATGAAAAACAGCGCGCAGTTGAGGATAACAACAATCGTTTGTTTCGCGTTTGGCTTACCGCCAAAGCTGCCACAAAACCAATACTTAGTACAAGAAATCAGGGCAGGTTCAACACCTGCTGAATTTTAGATTCACTAGTTCGCAGCAATCGCATGCAATCGCCAAACAACTAACGTTTATGACCAACTCTGCAGGGGCCACGAACACATCAAACTTAACAAGCAATTGTTCCTTCCAGCCACTCAAAATCACTTAAGAATCTGGGAAGCAATCAAGAAAACATCGATCAGGCAAATGCATATGCTTATCTACTGATTAGACACCTTGTTAAAAGGCAAGCCAAGCCATGATTGACGTGTAGAGTACGATCTGCAAAGGACAATCATTTTTCGCCACAGCATGGTACCAACTAAGCACACCGGATTCCAGAAGCTAAGCCTCACATAAATTGAAGTACATGGCGTGCATGATTTGAGAGATATTCTCTAAAACATGCTAGGGATAGCTTCGGCTGTGTGTGTGTTTCATGCGCCCTCCCATTGACTTCCAGTAACATGGCTTTACGTTCCAGCGAGGCAAACATCAGCTAGCTTTCCACATTGTGTTACATTCCAGCAGATCCCAGCAGGGTTCTATACGAAAATCAACTGTGTTGCGTCTCCAAAGCGCCGATGCAAAATACATTTGGGGCCGGCAAAATGCACCACTTATTTCTTCCTTTTCTGAGATTATGGTGTTCCAAGTGCCTATGGTTTTCCAAGTAGCTTTTCAAGCACATGTTGAACAATAGAACACCTGTTCACCCAGGTTCACGAGCTTGAGCTTCGTGTTAAGGAGCCGCGCAGCCGAATTTGTATCGCTTACATACTTTTGGCCACAACACGCCACAGCCAGATCGGGCCCAACAGGATGTCTCGGTTTTATCCCCAAGGCGTCTCCGCAGCCAAATTTGGGCCAACTGGATGTCTCGGTTTCTTTTCCACCGGCCTCCGAGTACATGGTTTTGTCCCCAAGGCGCCTTCGCATCTTGGTGGCAAACACGAGCAAAATCTGAGCCGCGGCCAATGGCCCCAAAAATGTCGCGGTTTTTAAAAACCACTGTATAAATTCAACGTGTTCAAGCCCATCAATGACTTTTAAGGGCTTGTCGCATGGGCGGGAAAATCACAGCTGAGCTTCTACAAGTGGAAATTATGCAGCGGTTTTAAAAAACCGAGACATTTTTCGGGCCACGGGCCGCTGCTCAGAATTTACGCAGTTTTGCCATCAACGTGCGAAGGCGCTTTGATCACAAAATCCAGGAACTCGGAAGCTGCCTGGGAAAACAAACAACATCATACATCCGGTTGGCCCCAATTTGGTTGCGGAGACATCTTGGGAAAAAGAAAGCGAGACATCCTTTTGGCCTTTGGCCAAGCCAAGCCCGCGACCACGTACTCGGAAGCTGGTGGAAACATACAACGACATTTCTTCTGTTGGCCGAAAGTTGGCCGCGGAGGCGCCTTGAGTCATGCCATTGGTCAATGTATGTGTCATTGCATCATAGGCTCCTTGCTAAAGGAAATTCATGTACTTGGAAGCCGGCAGCAAAATGACATGCTTGACTACGTTGACGCTGTGCTATGCTTCTTTGATGCCTGCAGCGGGTGCCAAATACTGGGTAATATTTGTCGTCACTGGCGCTTTGAGCAAACCCATATACTTGACTTGGCGATTATGGGAGGTACGCACTCAAAGACTGAACAGCAGCAAATGTTTTTCACAAAGGTGTCTACAATCCACGGAACAACACACGCAGAATCAACACAACATTTGGAGAAACAACATTATATGCACCACAATTCAACACATGCGAGAGAACACTCCTACAATGTATGCTAAATTTCCGTGCATGCGTGTTAGTTGTTGCTTTCCTTATTGTACAAAGAGTGGATGTACATGAACGCACGCACGTGCTTGACTCTTTACAGCTTAGGTTTAGCCGTGTTTTGCAATGCCTCTAGAGACATCGAATGGCGTCAGGGAATAATCGTTGCTTGCTTTGGTCGCGATACAGATTTATGGCTCGCTTGTTGTCAAGCATAGCTCCATTGCTGTTGTCGCATCTCTGTACTCGGATTTCAATGGTGCGTCCTGTCAAGAGCTGCGAGACCCGTATCGTGCCGGCGTTTATTCGCGCATTATCACGCATTGCTGGAGACTCCGGACCCATTCAAAACTCAGTTCAGTGTTGTTTGCTATCATGGAACTCAATTCTGATTCTGCAAAGAAGACGTTCAGAACCTGGACGCGTAAGTTCCTCAGTGTCTCCGCAAAGGACCCACAAACAATTTGCGTTGTATGTAAGATTGTGGTTTGGTCATTTGTCCTGTGGGCCTCCTACTGGCAGCGCTCAACCTTGAAGAGCTTGTTGCTTACTGTGTGCCAATGGCTTTGAGTGTGTGTGTGTGCCTTGGCTCATTTCACACATTTGCCCTCCTGTTCTGCCTGTGCCATTCAGCCGAAGCTGGCTGTGTCTTGGGGTTGCTGCCGATCGTTCTGCGCCCGTGTCTTCTGGTTGGCATTAGCGTGTTTACGTTGCCCATTGCCCACATTTCCAGTTTGGCCTGCGCTTCTTTTTGGCAATCGAGTTTCACTTGGCAACAACTGTTCATACGCGCCTGCCCCATAGAATGTATTTGTACTGATTCACGTGCTGTTTGGAACATATACTGTACTCACTGAAAGCCGGTGCGCGCATGCTGCACAAGCAGGCGTGCTGCGCAGACACGTTGATACGCAAAAGGTCTGGCAAAAGGGCAGGTTTGCTCTATCACCAAAGAGAGCCAAAAACACAGACACGAATGCAAAGACGGAAAAGACGTACGCGCGCGGCAGGCATACACAAACAATGTTCAACAAATGATTACGTATCTATTTATTCATATATGTATCATATCTATATACAGATATTAATTCATTGACACTGCAACCAGCTTCAACTTAATCAACCGCGCAAAGTGCGAGATCACAGCGCGAAATCAGCAAGACGTGATGAGGGCATGGATGCACAACTGCTTGAACAAATGCGGGGCTTTCCTGATTGCATTGCAGTCTCTGTTTGGGCATGTGCTCCTTCCGCAGCAATAGGCGCACAAGGCAATAATTATCACGCATTTCCGGATAGTTACTGTGCTCATTGACAAGCCGGCAGGAGCTCACACTCCTTTTCTATGGGCATGTAAACTACGTGTTTGTCAATACAACCATACGATGTTATGCAGCAAGAGCAACGGAACTACAGAAGTGCTATGATTTCCAGCTACTTCAGGCGTAGCAAAGTCAAGAAGCAAAGTATAAGCATTAAAAGCTTCTTGATAAGTTCCGATTTGTTTTGGGTAAAGTTCCGGTTGGACCGGCTTGAGCTTTCAAGTGAAGTGCGCCATCTACTTTCGGCCTGGTGCACCACTTTGGGGATCTCTTTCGAGCTGAGTGAGACGGAACCCTCCGTGCCAACCCCTTTGTGGAGCTAGCGTGCTATAACGAAGCAGTCGAGCGGGTGCGCTTACCATGGTCAGGCGTGCGTGCAGTGTTATAACGCAGCAGTCGGGCGGGCGTGCTTACCATTGTCAGGCGTGCGCGCAGCCTTGTAACGCAGCACTTACCAGGTCAGGCGTGCTATAACGAAGTAGTCGAGCGGGTGCGATTATCATGGTCAGGCGTGCGCGCAGTGCCAGGGCGAAGCAGTGGTGCGGGCGTGCTAGGCAGGGTTGCAGGAAAAAAGTGAACGCCGTTGGCCGTTGAGCGCGGTTTCTGGTCGCTGGCAAAAACGAGCCCGCCCACCCCGCCCCACCCCCCCTTCCCCCCACCCCCGAAACCGGAGAGCCAGGCCGCAGGCCGAGAGCCGGGCCTGGGTGCCGACCACCAGCCGGAGCTCATGGACCCCAACCAGGCGCTGAAGCTACTGCCCACCTGGCCGGCCGATGTCCGTCGTTTGCTCAGTCCAGTGGATTTCCATGGGAAAAAAAGAATCGGCACCCTTCTTTTGTTGAGTTTAAAGGGGAACCGTTGCCACATTGTTATTTTATTTTATTTAAGATTTAAAAAAACAAACGGCACCACTGGGAAACAGAGTTTGGTTGAGACGCCCCGATTGGCGGGTTAGAAGCCAAAAGGATTCAACCAGTTCGGTTTGGAGGTCTTGTGCGCCAAAAGGACACCCGAACCCATTTATTCCATGTCTTGACTTTTACGGAGACGCCAGTTGTTTGGAGGTTCATCCCTCATTGGTCGAGCAAGCCAAAACCAGATTATGATATGCCCCAAACCTGGGGGAGGGGGTTGTTTGTTGGAGGGTCTTCTGTTCACCTTGGTTGAAAGCGAAAACAACAGGGCAACCTTTACTTCGAGGTACCCCTATTTTGACACATACCCATCAGAAAATCGAAAGGAAAACCTTCATGGCCACTCATCACAATGTTTCAGCCTTCCAACAAGGGGAAGATTCCCATGCCAAAAACCGCGCGGGCGCACGCCGATGTCCTTTTTTTTCCCGCACCGACCGCCCGAATTCTCTGCATTCTGCAGCCCCCCGCAGCGAAGTCTCACCTCACCGGCTGCGGGCCTCGGGCAAACGATGCGGCGCCGGCTCTGTTTGCTTGCATAGGGCTGCGCCCCGTAAAACGCACCCGGCAACACCTATCTTAGGAGGTTGATAACCCCTTCACAGAGAGGAAGCCAAGTAGGTGAAGCCCCCCCCCTGCGCCGTACGTGTTTTGCGATATCCAAAATCCGATTCGTAGCCGTATCAAATGGAAAATGTGACTTGTTCAACATGGCCAACATGGCATCTTTGCACAGCAATCTGGGGACTTGTCGGGCAGGACCCCTTGGGGAACAGCAACTCAACTCCCCCTTCCATGTTTCATTAAGTTGGGGGAGGGGGATTTCGCTTCAAAATGGAACCTTAAGAAAGCTGTTTGCAACAAAGCAAGACCGCCTTGTAAGGAGAAAGGCGTAAACACCCAACCACCCTGAACAAAATGCAGAGCAGAAGGACCTCATAGCAAGCCTCCCAAAAATTATTCCAGTTCCGCTTCCCGGTCAGGTTAGAGCCATGACTGCACTTTGCAGAGTGGGATTGCAACCACTAGCATGATACCGCTGGCAGACCTTAAACCTATGATTACCCCATGCAAAACAAGTCAGGGAACCCAGCAGTCAGTTCCTTCGTACGGGAAAATCCTCCAGAATTTTAGCACTCTTGGAAGCTTCGCGTTCTCGGAACCCTCTCGAACATGGAACCCAGGTCCCTAGTCCCCGGCTAAACCAATCTGAAACGGCTGGGGCAAAACAAAATGTGTCAAGAAAAGGCGCAGGTACCATGCTGGCAGGGTATTCATGAGGAAGGGAGTGAAATTCACGTATCACGGCCGGCCACATAAACGGAATAAGTCCATACTTGTGAAAGGGATACACACCTCGCCAAAGGCACCTGTGTCATTCTCTGAATGACTTCTCTCGAGAAATGTCCTGCACGGTGTCCTTCCTTGAAGCGCCCTACAACGCTACAAACAGACTACGTATAGCTGTGAACAAAAACAAGGAACATAACCAAAATGGCGGCCGAGCATCGGCCGCTTTTGGGGGGCTTGGACACCCACATGGCAGCAAGTTTCTCGGCCCCCGCCACCTGTGAAAGGGATTCTACAAGAATGCTATGCTTCGTCCAGCCATACTGTGGGTGGACGAAATCCGTTTCGCATGACTTGAAACCATGCAAAACCACTGTTCGTTGGTATTTACATGGGAATGATCATTCCCGAGCTTCTTGGGTGGTGCAGGATTTCGTCCATCCACTTTAGGGTGTTCTCTTGAACTTCAAAGGACCCGCATTTCAAGAACAAGGGAAATAACGGAGAAACCAATCTCTGGGCATTTCAGCTTGCGCATTCCAGAGGTCTGTCTCAGTTCCCTTTCCGACCTAAAAAAATCGCCAGTTCAGTGTCCCCGGTAGAAAGAGAAAGGGCACCTTTTTTTTGGGTTGGACAGCTCTTGGTGGGGCATCCACCACGCAAGAAAAAGAAGAAGCGCGTGCCAATGCACGCCTGGGCATCACCAGACACGAAAAAAAGGGGGCGCCCGAACCCAAAAGTTTTCCGCCAGGCCGCCAGCTGCGAGTAGAGACCCCGCTTCCGAAGCAGCGCCTGCCGGAAAGGATCGCCGACTTTCCGGGGGGGGGGGGGGGTGGCCCTGTGGTGGAAAAATTCTGCCCTGGGCAAACACAAACCATGCCCTGGGTGCACAGAAACAAGAACATCCGTGCCGTTGCAATGACGGATGAATGATCGATGGATTATCAATTCACACACACACACACATCCTTTTGGCGGCCTTTTGTTAGTGGAATTAAAGAGAAACCTTTAAAAGGAAACCAAAACCGACCATTTCGGCGGAGTTTCCCCCATTTTCAGAACCCTAGAATCTCACGATCCATGCCGATCACATTGGGTCAGTCTAAGATGGCTGCTCGCTCCCCTGAGTTGTTGGTGGGGACTTTAGAGCTCGTCCCCAGGTTTGTCCCGAACCCCAAATTGACCATAGACTATATGGCCATGGGTTGCAGAACCTATGGCGATCCCATTTTGAGGTAAATAAAACATCCATTTGCCAGCTATTTTGATGTTCACCAGGGGAGGGTTTTGACCACCACAGCCATATGTTGCCGAAACACTCGAGGCTTCCCCTTTGCACCCCTGGATCCTGACGAGGGCAACCGCTCAACCCTCATGGTTTGTGCCCTGACGTGTGAAGTCCGGTACCAAGATGTGGTTGCCAGTGTTCCAGTCCTAAGTCTGGGCTGCACGTTTGCAGATCCCCCGCTAAAAGTGACTAACTTTCAGTGGGTTAGATGGAAACTACCACTAAACACTAAAAGGCTAAAAGGCTAAAAGGCTAAAAGGCTGAGGGGATGGCTGCGAGCCACCAAGTAAAGTGTCAGCAGTGAGAGAATGCATTAACATCGTTAATCTCTCCCTGGCGGCCTTGTGACTGCGAAGATGGCTAAGACACCAGGAATGAAACACTGAAACACCCAGATCACAACAATTATTATGTGGAAGTTTGGGTCGAGAACCCTGTGTTTGTGAGCATCATGACAGATTTGGCAATTGGAGCGTTGCTGAGACAGCTGCAATTGCAGGTCGTCAGCCAGAATGCTGTGAGGTCAATGCCCGCTTCTCCCAACAAAGCCTTGAAAGTTGCTGAATCTTGTTGCTGGAGCCTGTAATATGATGGACAAACTTGAGTTGCCAAATCAGGCTAAACAAACCAAAAGGATCTCAAGCCATGATTATCTGACACATTTGCAGCTGCGTTCCTGTTTGGAGGCGTGGTGACCGGAGCTAAGATCGTTCAACGCTTCTAGCTGGCCTGGTGTTTGCCCATCTCCGCGATGCGACCCTGACAGCGCGGCAAAGTCCAAACATGCGTTCACGGAGAGGTAGTGGCGGGGGGCTCACCATCTCAGGTAATTTCGGCAAAAGGGAAAGCTGAACGAGAGCAAGACTCTTTTTGCGGGTACCGCATGTTTGTGGTTTTACAGGGAAATCAATAGGAATACTACCATTTTGCGGGTCCCCAAAAACGACCCATAGAATCCCAGGGCTCTCTGCCCGAATTGCAGTTTCAAAGGCTGGGGATGGCCCCACCTCTCCCTTCTGCCCTGTGCAAGCTCCTTAAACATGTTGTCTCACATGGCCGCCAAAGATCTCAAAAAGCTCTCCTCGTTGAATGATCACGACTTTAATAGCCACTTGATGTACTGACTACTGCAAGCAAGCAGTGATCTTGTGCGTGCCATGACAAGCATTTCCGTGCACCGCTTGCAAGAAATGACATGAGCCCGTAAAGCGTAGCACGGCTCGGAAACAGCCGCGTGACGGCTGTAGAATAAACACGTGGGATGTCCAACCATTCTTTAGGAATTCTCTGGAGAAGCTAGCTGAAGGTCTGGCCCATTTGGAAGAACTGCTCGCCGCCCGAGAAGACATTCCCCTCGAAATACCCACTGGTCGGCGGACGTGATAGCAACCCGGGACAAAACACAAGTATTGTCTGTAGAGAAAGCAGTTTTTGAATGTATTCCCATAAAAAAGGGATGCCTGGGAAAGTGCGACAAGGGTCGATAGGCACTGGGTGTCCAATCCATCAATATCTGCGCACCGACACACACGTCCAATGGATACGCAATGCTTCGCACGCCTCTTTGCCTTCCAAAGTGGGTTTGCGATTGAAGGCTACCCTTTTCAGCTTGCTCTAAGGAAACCATGAGGAACACCACCAATCTGAGGGTCCAAATCCCAATTGTGACGCCCCAAGCCGGCTCATTGGCACAGAAAACGGGCTGCAGCATTTTCGGTTTCCCGAAGACCGCAGAGGGGTGGCTATAACTTGCCTACCTTGTTCCTGAAGGGGTCCCATATGATCGGAGGCAAAGAAATATAAGTTTCAGTTTAGGTCCCTTTGGTGAACATTGTCCACCAAAGTGTCTTTTCCAAAACAAAACAAAAACATTGAGATCTGTACCCACCAAGCATTGCAAGCGTGCCAACCATTAACCGTCATAGCCATGTCTCATTTTAAGCCTCACGGCTAAAAGGACACCGCCCAATTTGGGCGTCATCTGTGCAAGCCGGCGGCATAGGGCAAGTCCACGCCGATGTCACACCAATGCTGGATGAAACCAGATTTGAACACTGGGATATGTGGAGTTCATCCAGTGTAGCTGCTCCAATGATGCTGGAAGAATCTGAAGGCTTTCGTATCTCAGGTCATTTTGGAACCTTATTAAATTACATATAACACTCCCCCTGACCCCTCTCACGACCATGTTCCATGTCAGACGAGGGGTCCTCAATCCGGAGTAATCATTCCATTTGCTGAAGTCCGGAAACAATGAGCAAATATGTCCAGCAGAATGGAGGAGGAACATCATCGAAACACCTGCTTTTTGTTTCCTTTGGAAGTCCTTCTGGGAACGATTCCACACTTCGCCCCCGCTTCCCGAAAACGTTATCTAGGTCCTCCAGTGGAGAGTTTAGAATAAGTTGGTACTTACCTTTTTCTGTAGTCTGTTTTAGTAGGGGAACCCTCCCAAGGAAAAAAGTAGTAGGGGAACCCTGCCAACCAAAAAAGAAACGGTAAAAGGGCACTACTGGGCAACCTAGCGTTCGACTGGCCTTGTCGAGGACCACGATCTGATCCGCGTCCTGGACCGTGCTGAGGCGGTGGGCGATCACCAAGCAGGAGGCTGACCTGAATGGAAACCAAGCGCTTGGAGTGACCCCGAACGCGAGCAACCCAGCAACTGGGTCGGCCGTTGCTAGAGTACATTCCCCATACTTTCCAGGGATCCTTCTTTTCAGGAAACCATCAAAAACCCAGGGGAAACACCCGGTTTATGAAAAGAACGATGGTTGAAAAGAATGGGGAATCAACCCCTAGACGTTTTGTTGCGGGCAACCCCCGTTGTTGTGTTTGTTCATTTTGGGAAACCAGACATTTGAGCCACCCTGTTGGCGGCCAAATGGGATCATTGAAGCGAGCGACCTCATTTCGGATGACTACGTTCAAGGTTGGACAAGAAGTCGGTGCACCAGACCATGCTCGTTCGTGCGAGGGTACTTTGAGCACCCTGAAGCATTGTTTAAAGTATCGATAATATCTGCACACATGAAAGCCAATCATGAGACAAATCTCGTCAACTGCTTCCCTGCGGCTTGAGCGACTGGCGAGCAGACAAAGTTTGATGAGTGGCAGCGCATTGGGGTCTTTTGCCTTGTTTGAGTTCCTTACTTTGGACCCTGCCGCGTTTACCCACATTCCATCACCAGTCAGGTGTTGGTATTCACAAATCGCTGGGTAGGGTCATGCAGAGAAACATCCGAGCGTCGCATGCTCCATTGCATGGGACTGATAGAAACTGGGATTGCCCTGCTGGGTGGCGTGAAAGGACCAAAAGAAAGCCGATCTTTTGTGGCACACACAACCAAATCAAACCCACACACACACACACACACCACCCACCCGCCCACCTGCCTGCCGGCCTGCCCGCCCAAACACACACGCTCGCAAAACAAGCAACACAACAGCACAGAGAAAAGCACGGAGGAACACCAACAGAAACGCAACCACACACACACACACACATGCTCATGCGCATGAGCATGTGCATTCGCCGGCACAAGCACGCCAACTACCTGTTGACGTGATGTCAACATTTGCAGTGTGCAGCTGTGCAGCACCATCCCGAAGAACCTCTTCAGCGCCGACCCCGTGAAAAAACAGCATGGCTAAGAAGTTGTGAACACCCGTATTTTTTTGCCAAATCCTCTTGGGGGGTCCGTTAGGCCAAACAGCTGCAAATGCAGTCCGGGTCGGCGTGCCTCTGCTTCAGGTAGGCATTCACGCTGACCTCGGGGTGCTTCCCAAATATCTGGCTGGACAAATGAACCAAACCTGACTGCAACCCCGAACAAGATCAAGTTTTAATCTTACCAAATTTTACCAACTCGATTGGCATGAGCAAACAAGGGGCGCGCAAAACCCGCGTTGCCAGCAGAAAACATATTGAGCCTCCACTGACATATGCCGAGGTCCAAAGACCTTTTGCCACAAAGAAATTTGATCCAACCTTTCACATAACAACTCAACGAAACTGCAAACTGGAAAGTCCAAAACGCCCTGCACTCAGGGAATGGGGGCAAGCTTCTTGGGATAGCTCGGAACCCTTGTTTCAGCACAAGAGCCCATCTTGGAGGGTGTCCAATCCTGGGCTCGCATGCTGAAAAACAACAGGACGCCACACAAAATGAAATTCGGCCATCCCAAGACAGCCCCCAGATCAAAAGAAATGTGTGAAACCACCCCAGAAAATGGACACCAGCAGGAAGCCATTTGTGGCACGCGGGAAACCCAAAAACGACGCCCGCCTGAACTTCTGCCTCCGTGCTGCTGTCCAAAGCGCTGGTGGCCTGGAAGGATTTCGGGGAGCGCCACGAAGACCCACAAACCGGGAACCCCGGAAACGTGGTTAACCAAAGGGCCCCAAATCTCATACTCATGTGTGCTATGGTCATGTGAGCCTTGCTCATGGTCCTAAATGATGTCCACCAAAGGGCCCAACAAAAATCAAATGTTCATATCTCATGTGTGCCATCATGTGAGCCCTTACTTGGACATGGTACCAACCCCAAGTGATTGGGTCTTCCCGAAAAGGCCCTTGATTTTTCGAGAGACATTTAGAGCTCATCCTCCGTGTCCCTCCGAAATGCACCATAGACTGCCACATGTCTTTGACCGAACCTTAACATCGTTACCACCAAAAAACGATACAGGCACACGCAATACCTTGGTAATATTGTCGGTGATGACATATGTCATATGGGTCATATGCGTACCACCCAATAACAGGGTATCTGTGGGAGGGTATACATCCAACCAAGCTTGGAAGATTTCCCTCACTATAACGCGCTCACTAAAACTTTAAACCATCGTAAAGCCAGACAGCAGTACCACCTATTCGAAGTGGACAAATGCAAGGGGTGGTTACAGATCAAGGAGGGAAGCGCTGACACTGTATCTTCGTGGGGATTTATATCCGCCAACTGATTCCCCATGGGTATGCCCTAGTGGTGACCTCATCAGGTGGCAAAAAAGGCTGTAAGTCTTCATAGGGGGCCCTTTTCTGGACTGATATGGCTGGCGTATGTTCGCCACCCATTTTTGTGTCCATGAAACTTCACAGCCAAGTCACCTTTGGTTGCCTTGGTTTAAAGGCAAGGGATAGCACAAGCAACTCCCCAAAACAATCCAATCGATTGAGAACCTGGCGAGGGGCCTCAACTCGAGTTGGAGATGCAAGCTCCATGCCCGTTCTGTTTGATTGCGTCGTCCTTGGCCTTGAATCATTGAAGCTCTGAGACTAAGCTCCGGTTGCTTTCCTTACAAGGGCTAAAGGGTACCCTTAAGAATAGGACCTTTCCAATCATATGTGTGCATGTCCCAACTATGGCAATTAGGACAACACCGGAAACCCTGTCAACTACCGCAATTTACTGGGTGTCTTGGTTTGAAGTTGTGGGTCCACTTGCAAAGCAAGGAGAACAACGCTTACACGTATGTCATGGTGATTTACTACTTGCATGAGAAAGAAGATGATACCTAACGACTGATGAACCTTCACCATGTGCTTGAGAAATCTTTTCTGAAACATGCACCATTTTTCCCCAGCGCGTGACGTGGCAGCCACTGAGGAATCTCGCTGGCTGAGACAAAACCTTGAGAACAACACGGGCGTTTTGTCAGACCAGGTTTCTTGTCCTGCTCACAAAAAGGCCGGCTTGAATTGACTAGGGCCCAAGGCGGATCGATCATCTTTTGACCTGTTGGCTTCCCCTGATACATTTTCATGGTCCTACAAGGTTGCCACGCTTGTTTCCGGGTCCTTTGGGGAACTGAGTAATAAACCGATCTTTCATTCACATACACACACACACACACTTTAACACACCGCACACGTGGGGTTCAGACTTGGCTAGTACCTGGCTAATTGAAACGAGCAAAGCGAAACCGAATCCATGGCATGGACCGGACAGATTCTTCCCAGGCCCGGCCTCATCCAGGATCAAGATGCGTGGCCTGCGAACCTGCGAGAAGCAGAGCTTGAGTACCGAGAAGGTACCAGCTGTTTGTGTAGTACCCCTAGGCGCACAGAGTAGAGTTACCTCCACAAATCAAAAGGTGAAGCAACAAATCAAATGTGAATGTGTAGGCGTGTGTATATATATATATTATAATGTTTATCTAATGTGCGTGCACTAGTTGCTTCATGGTTTTCCGGGTGGGCCCTCGACAAGAGGATCTATAGGGTGCCAAATCTAGGGACCAAACAGTGAGAAAAGCAACACCGAAAGGACAACCCGCTCCCAAACAAGTCCATCGGTTTGGGACAAACGTCCGTATTGAATGTGGGCCATAAGTATGAGCAATGGATAAAATAATTTCTCCCCAAAAAGCAGATTGGCAACTTGTTTTTTCAGTGGGGGGGATTGCCAAAATGAGTGACTCTTTTGGTAGCCCCTCTAGAAGTCGGCAGCTTGGCTGGCACCAAATCAGGGCCGCCAATTTCCAACACCAGGCGGCTTGGCATGTTTCCCCTTGTCGATGGGGTCGCCGAGGCTCAACACAAAGAAATCTGCATCCCCATTACGGACACCCTTCCGGTGCAACTTCCAAAGCGACATCCTCAATATTCCCTCTAACTCTGAATTCCTGTTGGAAGGAATTTTCCCCTCCCACCCAAAAAACAAAAGGAAAAGTCAGAAAAGGAAAACCAGAAAGAGGAGAAGAAACGGAAAACAAGAGAAAGGAAAAGAACAGAAAAACAAAACACAACAACACAATGTCGAGGACCCTCTCGAACATCTCGACTTCGCCCCCTTCAGCTGTTCGATGCCCAGCTGCTGAACCCTGGGTGCCCGGGCCAGGGCGCGCGCCAGCGCAATGCGCTGCCTTTGGCCCCCGCTGAGGCGCACGTCGCCCACGAAGGTGTCGTAGCCTGACGGTCCAATGGGATCTCTGAAAGAGGGTCCCTTGCCGCAGGAGTCACTGGATTTCCCCTAAAGTTGATTAATTTATAGGTGGTGTTCATTGCAACTGCCACTTTTGCTGGTTCCAAAAAAGGAAAATAGAGGAACCCCTGCGCTACCTCGTGGCTTTGGCGTTTGGGGTCTTTGCACCTTAGGTACTTGGACGTGGAAAAGGCCGTTAAATGCTTAATCCCAGTAAACCCTCTTAAGGCTGCGATCCAAAAAGAATGACCATTGCCCCCCCGCCCTTTGACACATAGATCTCATGTATCCTCCGACCCACACTGGCGTGTAACCTGACTTGGGGGGGGACTTCTGGAAGACATTTTTTCTCAACAAAAAACCTTGACAGGTGCCGATCTGTGGCTAGGAGGGTAAGTAGTACCTTGAGCAACAAATGACCCTCTATACATGCACCCAAATTGGTAGTACTGAAAGCAACAACTTCGCCCGTTTCCTACAGTCCAGAAGTCACCCCCTCCCCCAAAACGCCGCAGGAGTAACCCAACATAGTCAAAAGCTCAACCTGCTCATGGCTCCCAACCCTTCAAGGAGCCACTTGGAGTTTCAACCTGCACCCCCAAAATCAGCGACCCCATAAACCACAGGGCTGAACAGCTTCATTAGAGTCAAATAACGTCAAACAAGGCCTCAAAAGCTAGTGGGTTGTTTTGGACGGCTGCCCACGCCATTTTCCACCCCAAGACCCAGGGTCGGGGGCAAAGAAGCGGCATTCGGGTTGGCCAAAGTAGGTTTGGTCCCTCCCGAGCAACCAAACCCCCGGGGCCCCCGCCATGTGGAAGCTGGGAGATGAAGCTCTCAGCGTCGGCTGCCTGTGCCGCCTGGCCTCAGTTCCACCAACCACTCAAGCAACCAGCCAGGCAAGCAGCCAAGCAACCAAGCAACCAGCCAGGCAAGCAACAACCACCCGGCCAATCACCCAACCAGGCAGCCAGCCAAGCAAGCAAGCAGCCAATTCACCACCAACCCACCAACTAACCAACCAACCAACCAACCAACCAACCAACCAACCAACCAACCAACCAACCAACCAACCAACCAACCAACCAACCAACCAACCAACCAACCAACTAGTAGGAGCGAGCCACTGCTATGCAAAAATAGAACATTGCCTCCGGAGCTTGAGACCAGCCCTGGGTGACCTGCACAAGAAGGACAACGGCCACTGAACTACCTCGCTTGACCTGCAAAACGATCACCCGCGTTTAAAGTGGAAGTTCACCCGCCTCAAAGGCGAAGTCTTCCCCGTCCGTCTTCTTGAATGTTTCCTCCAGTTGAAGCTTGAAACTCTCCTTACCCACTTCCTGAGTTGATGGGCGAACCAATAAAAGTCCCCAAACGTCTCTATTTTCCCCACAAACATTGCCCCAGACCCAAAAAAGCGGACCAAGGTCCGACACGGAACTCGGGGGTTGTGAGCCAACTTCCAAATCCGAATCACAAGCTGACCCTTGGCCTCTCATGGAGAGACCCAAGCGCCCGCTCGCTCGCTTGCGCTCGCTCGCTTGCCGCCATGCGTCGCACCAGCTGGGTGACCGTGTCCACGTCCATGCGGGGGACACCCAGGCCTACCGAAGCTTTGGAGAGGCGCCGCGGGCTGGGAAGTGTCGGTTTGTCTGGTTCTGTTTGCCTGTCCCCTAGGGTTCAACCGCCCTTGAATGAAAGGTTGACCAATCCTTAGGAAAACAATGGTGCTTGTTTTAATGCTGATTAGAACCCCAGGGTGTCTGTTCTGGTTTGTGCGTTTCTGGTGGAAACTCAGTGAGTTGCCCATGTTCCTCCCAAGTTGTGGACAGGAATTCTTCCAAGGAGCTCCCTTTTGAACTTCAGGATGTGAAAGCCGGCAAAATACCCCACCGTCCTCTATGTGTGGAAACCCTGAAGATCTCTACATTTCCAACTGCAGGGCGACAGGTGCCTTATGATAGAAACCGTCTTTCAAGGCGCACATGGGAAACCGAATAGAACTGTTCAGGTAGCAACCCCTTTGGATGTAAAATCAGTGCAGCCAGTTCATGTTGAAAGCGAAATCAAAGGAACCAACCACGTGGTGGTCGCTATTTCGCGTTCCTTTAACACTACTCAGAGTTTGTCGCCCTTCACCCTCCCCCACTGGCCAGTTGGATTCCCAGCCAGGGAAAAGCTCAACTACGTTGCTCCATCTTCGAATGACTCGTCCAGCTGGTTGGAAGCGAAACAGGATGGTTCCATAAATTATGATGGGACATGTAATTCGTGTTACCAAAGCATTACCAAAGGATTGCAGCTCGAAAGACCTTTCGGTGCACGTTGCTATCCAAACAACTCCGTGTGGGGGCTTCCAGCTGGGGGAATGAGTATGTCTCAAAGTGGGCGAGACCGCACGTGCCAAGGATGTTCGCGTTTGCCACCCCCACCCCTTAACCCAAAGGGGATAATCCTGCAGATTGTCTTTGAACAGGCCATCTTTGAGGCATATTGACTTCTCAACCCGCAAAATTGTAGCCAAACAAAGTGTTCTTTGCAGCACTCCAAATTACAATGAGCAAACAAGCAAACAACCGAAACCGTAAATACCAAGAACATTGACATGGTTGTGGGAAAATAGCCCTTTCCGTGCTACCAAAGTGAGCCCATCCCCACGACTGCGCTGCGTAGGGGAATCGAGGTCCTTGTATCACAGAAAGCGGCCCCAACACCTAATGTCCACAACCATGAACAATACCTGGACCTGGACCCTGAAACTCCCTTTATATTAAGCACAAGAACTTAACCCACAATTTTGGGGCAGCAACACGTCTTTCAGAGAGAGTATTTTGAGGGTCCAGGTACCAAGAATAAGGAAGCATCATGAACTCTTAGCTTTGTGGGTCGACCCGCTGCTCGGATCCCTTGCAATTCGAAGCGTTGCTGTCATTCAAGGAATATCATTGAGACCCCGAAAGGGTCCCCATTCGCAGGAAGATAGAAACCGCTTAGGATCCATCTTCAATTTCGCAGGCAATGACAGCTCAGCTATCGATTTGCCGAGCTGGGGGACCTAGAGTCTACCAGTTCAAGCCGTAGTAGGGAAACCCTCTCCCCAAAACAAGGGGGTTAAAAAGGGCAAAAGCCTAGCTGGGGGACCTAGACCAGTCCAAGCCTTCCACCATGAGCTCCTGCAGCTCGCTGGAGTCGAAGGCATTTCCCAGGCCCAGCGCGATGTTCTCCCAGACCGTGGCGCTGAAGAGCCGCGGGTCTTGCGTCACCACCTCGAGCTGAGCTCGTGAAACGGGGGGGTTCGTGTGGACGCAAGATGTACTCGGTGGCGAAATCTGCTCCCCTGCCAAAAGTGACTAACGTTTAGTGGTTTAATACGGAAAATCCATGAGTTGGCAAAAAGCTGATGTTAACGTCCAAGCAAAATGCAACAAAGGTTGGCTAGCTGCGATAGGTACCCAGGGGTGCCCTTAAAGGAAACCACCAGTTGGATGTTTTTTGTTTGACTCTTCAAAGCACCACATTGGTGCTACTGGTACCTTAATCGCGAACGGTGCATCCTTTTCGCCGAATAAGGGTTTGTGCCAAAATGGGAGGATTGCCCAGCTCCACTGGGCAGCTCCCCTCAGCAGCTGATGGGAGTAGAATTGATGCCACTCCCACAGCGAGGGAGGAATCCTCCCACCTCACCGGATGCCCTCCCGGCATCATGGGTGAGGACGGAAAGTAGCGAAGATCAGCTTGATCAATTCGCTTTCGACTGAGGGGAAGACCCGGTTCTCAGTCGGAAATTGCGGGTCCGGATGAGTAAGTTCATCCGCCCATGTGTTAAAGTCGCGCTTCACATGCGACGGTCCTAACATGACCTGGTGGTCATGCAGTGTTAACACAATTTCCATGAGGATGGCCGCATTGGGCATCCTGCGAGTGGAATCGTTGAGCAGGGAGAAAACGTTTCCCTGGTTATCACTAGCAACCAGAATCCTAGTGTGAGAAACCGAGCCGGCTGCACAAAGCAGAGCAGCCCTCACCAGAAGGAGGAGGCCGAAGAGCTCCAAGGCCGCTATCGCTCGCTGCGGGTCCCCAGTAGCGAAGGCCCACGGCTCGCCCTCCGGTGTGATTCTGTGTTGGAACCACTTCACGCGGGACTTGTCGGGGTTGGGCACGTCCGAGCACCAAGCACCAACCCATGCATGGTCCGCCTGTTTGCCAGCTCCCGCATCGGATGCCCCCGTCCAGGGAAGTGTGGGAGCAAATGGAGATGCCAGTGGGAATCTCTGGTTGAAGAGCTTCCCCAGAAGGATGGCCAGAGCACGAACCAGCTTCGGTGGCCTGCCCGAAGTGGTGCAGGCCTTCTTCCAGCTCCAAAAGGGTTGGAGGAAAGGTTTCGTCAATGGACACGCCGAAGTAGCCCATTGAATCCGGCCCAGGGCTTGTTCCACCTCCTTGCTGGTAAAGATGTCCCCCTGGGCCAGCCGTTTGAGAGTGGCAAGGATTATGACGTGCTTGACTGGAGCCAGCAGCACACAGGGCGTGATTGGGTCCACCACGAATCCCAACCAGGTATTGACCGGGGAGAGCGCCGTCTTCTTCCAAGAAAGCGGGACTCCCAGCGCCAGAAGAGTGGCCAGGATGGCTGTGGCGTCCCAGTCCGCCCTACTGCATCTGAGGACCCAGCAGTAGTCGTCCACAAAAACTAAGTGCCAGTCTACCTGAGGGAAGATGTAGTACAAGAGTCTGAGCACCAAGGATGCCTTTCTTCCCCAGTACAGTTGTGCCGAGGCCATGCCGTACGTGCCCACTCTATTGACCCACCACCGGTTCTGGATGCAGGCCACCTGGTATTTCCAGTCTTTCTGGAGCACTTTTATGCGCCTGTGGGCCTTGGTGACATCCGCCTTGAGGATGATGAAGGTTTCCCCCCGTGTCGGCGGCTGCCACGTCAGGGGTTCCCCCCTATCAGGGCCCTCGGCACCTGGGGGCAGGCTGGTGCTGTGGGGGTCCCTCTCAGGGCCCTCGGCACCTGGGAACTGCCCCTGCACCGGCTGGCGAACATCCCTAGGTTCCTCATCAGTGCCCGAGGATGGGGCTCGGAGTAGATGAGGATGGTCCGCCGCTGTCCTGAGCCAGTGGATGGCATGGAGGCAGTCTCCAACCATCGGTGCGGTGGTCTTCTCCTCCGTGTGAGCCTGGATGTGTGCGTTTGCTCCCCCTTTTGAGCCATCATAGATCGTCCTGATCTTGTCCGACTCATCAATCCCTGCAAGGGGGCCCGGGCAAAGTTCCTCCGGTTTGCAGCGGCACCTCTCTGCCGCCTCGGAGCGAGTGAAGGGCCCGTCCACCATGTCCAAGGCTCGTTCCTCGTAAAAGGTTGATTCGATTTCCTTGGCAAAGAGTTCAGCCGTTGGGTAGTTACCATGAGCCACTGGCGGGGGGGGATCTTCCCCCAGCCAGGCTTCTCCCTTAAGCTCCTCCTTAGTGGGCCAAACTCCCGGGGAGGTCAAGGTAGGGTCCGAGACTCCCAAGGGGACCCCCTCTTTCAGTGTTAGGGGGAATTCCCAATCAGGGTCACCTGAAAGGGATGCCAAGTGCGACACTAAGTCCAGGAGGAAGGGTTGTCCTGGGCATCGTTCATGGAGGTGCCTCGGTCCTAGGATAGCCCGCAGCTCCTCGAGGTCGGCTTCCTGGAAGGGGTGTGTGGTGGCACCTGATGCCAGGGACATTCGGACCTTGTCAATCCAGGGCCGGGTAAGGGTCATGATCAGGGCGCCCAAAGTAGCCAATGGGGAAATTCTCCGAAAAGGGGGGTTGAGCCTCCCTGGGGAAGGTTTTCCCCCCCCATCCCTCAGGGGGCGTGAGCGGAAACCCAATTGGACAATCGCCACCCGGTCAGTGAGGTGTGGGACCCTGAAAGCGGGCAGGCATTCGGGGCGGTCCAGGACCTGGTCCCCCTGTCCCTCCTTCCCCAGTTGTTCCGCATCTCCGGCCATCGGGGGCATGGGAGATGGGAAGTCTGGGTTCATTGTTCCACGAGGGCTTACGGTGTCTGCCTCAGGGTGGAACTGCCCGTGCAGGCGGGGCTTCGGGGCGTTCTTGCCTCCGGGCTTTGAGCCCTGGTGTGATGAGGAGGGACCGCCTCCTTGACTGGGCCCCCGTTTTCCCCGGGGGGAATGGCCTTCCGGGGGGTCCGACCCCCGCCCCTTAGGTGGTCCCTTGGGGTTTCCCGGAAATTGTGAGGGGATCCGGATGTGCCCCGGCGCTGCGAGTGACACAGCGATGGCTTTGGCCAGGCCTGCCATCATATCCCAAGGGTATCTGCTAAGAGTCGAGGACTCGTTGGTGCCCACATGTGACTGATGCGTGCACCGCATTTGATCCCAGTCCTGGATCGGGAGATCCGTGGCCAGCGTAGTGGCCTTCTTGACCAGCTGGCCCAGGCGGCACTGGTCGAAGGAGATTGCTGTCAAGGAGTTCTCCTCCATCCAAAGCTGCCCCTCCTCTGTGATCCAGAAGGATGAGCATTCCTTGGCTTTGGGCAGCGAGCTGCTCACCACTGGGTCCTCCGGGTGTTCCAGGAAGGACCTGGGCCCTGGCAGAGAAACCGCCGCTCGTGAGGCCCTTGCCAGGCTGGTGATGTACATCTGTCTCAGAATGAGGATGCTGTCATCATCAAGTTGAGTCTGGGCGGCCTGGTCCAGGTGTGGAAGGCCCCAGAGTGTCTCTGGAGTGCGCCCTCGCACCGGGGTGGGAGCCCCCGGTTTTGGTATGTGGCGCAGGATGGACCATGTCCTGCAGTTGGGTCCTCCTCCAATGAAGACCACTCGGCCCTGCTTTGCTGCCGTGCAAAGAGCTCCATACAGCTCGGGTTGGAGCATGTCGTGGTCCCCCTTGGGTCCAGACCGTAGGATGTCTACCGCCACCACCATGCTGGAAAGGTGTGGGTAGTTGGCATGAAGACAGCTGTCCAAGGAAGTAGGGTCCTCCTTGCCTGCATAGAGCAAGACAATGATGGGCCCACTGGATGGAACTTTGGGCGATGTGCCCTGTGTCCATCTCAACCGCTGTACCAGACGCTCAGGGATGTTCTCCATCCACGGGAAGATGTCCAATCCCGGTGACGGCTCCGTCGGACTTGTCAGGGGGGTAGCTGAAAGGCGTTGGCCCCCTTCATTCAGCCCCACCGAGCTCTTGTGGAAAACCACCGGGCCCTGCTTGATGATGTTGGGCGCCGGAAGTGGGATCGGCTGCCTCCTGGGAGTGTCCCTTGGCGTTGCGGTGTGCTGCCAGACATCCGGCACTCGGGCCTTCTGGGTGCGGCCCCCCGTGTCAGGGCCCTCGGCACCTGCGGGGAACCGTCCCGTCCCCGCCCTATCAGGGCCCTCGGCACCTGTGGCTCGGGACTGAGGCGCCGCCGTTGTGCCGGTTGTATGGCTGTGCTGGTCACGGCGAGGGCGTTGTGCACGCTGGTTCTGCCGTCCCCATCCTTGTTCCGCCGAGGATGGCCGCCAACTGGCCTGTCCCCCCCCTGTGTCAGGGCCCTCGGCACCTGCAGGAGGGGGCTTCTGTGCCTGCTTGGGGCGTTTGCACCCCTTCTCGCCCCCCCGGGCCCTATCAGGGCCCTCGGCACCTGAGGCCTCCCGGGGGGTAGGGGTCAGCGCCCCTAGTCAACCCGGGCAGTCCTGCGGGAGGTGGTCCCCCAGGCAGATGCGGCCCATTGCCAGGATGAGGTTGCACTTGTGGGTGCGGCCGCAGTTGCCCGGGCAGCGCCCGCGCATCCAGTTGTTACAGAACTGGTTCCCTTTCGGGTCGGTGGCTGCCTGCTTGCTACCGCCCCGGGACGCCTGATTGTTCAGGTGGGGGGGCTTACCCTTCCCTTTGTTCCCAGGCTTGCCCTTGGGCTTCCCCTTGCCCTTGGACTTGTTCTTGCCCTTCTGAGGTGGTGCGTAGTCCATGGATGTCCTGGTTGATGGGCGGCCCCTGGAAAAGGTCTTGATCTTCTCATAGACCTCACGTGTCCAGAACAATGTGTCCTGCCTGACCGACAGCATGGCCGCCTTGAGGGTGTTGCCCTCATGCATCTTCTCGTGAATCTTTCGCCATGCGTTGCGTTCGGCAATTGCCAGGACGTGGTCCTCTGGCGGGGGAAAACGGCCCCCGATGTCCTCACCATAGAACCACTCGTACCAGCTCTCCAAGTCCTCCCGGGTGATGTCGAACTGGCCGAACTGCGGGAACGAGAGGACGCACATGAGGAGGGTGTTGCGGAACACCG